CCTCGTCTTCTCTTCGCTCCGCCTCGCATCATGGCCTCCAGTCTCTTCGAGCCTGCAGATGCTTCGGCAGCCGCTCCGACGACCGAGCGCCGGACCAAGCTCTACCCCTACGACTCAGTCGCAGCGCAGCTCCTCGAACCGTTCGGAGAAAGCGCACTCGACTCCATGTCCCTACAGCAACTGTGGAAAGCGGCTTCGGATGGCAACAAGAAGGCCAGCTACCACAGCCTTCTGTGTGCCGACAAGGTCGCCGACAAGTGGCGCGTAGGAGCTGGGATCTCCACCACAGCGGCCGCCTTGCAGGCTGCCATCAAGCATGTGGAAGGCTCGGACATGGAGAAGCTTCTTCGTCCCGAGTTGTATGCAAAGATCATCCAGGAGACAGAGCAGCTCAAGCCCATTCTGGATATGCTCAACGTCGGTCGAGGCTCGCAGAAGCAGGACAGGGACACGGGGAGCTTTCGCGAGGCCAAGCGTCAGAAAACCACCGGGACAAGCTCCGTCCACGCCTACACGGAAGCCCAGGTGTTGGACGCCACGAAGAAATTCCATGCATGGCTCTCCCAAGACAAGTCCGCCTTCCGCGGAGCTTTGTATATTCTTTCGGGTAGCAATACGTATTACACTGCTCACACAGCGGAGATGGTAGCCCGAGCCTGCGTGCATTGCAAGCCCTTGAGCCTCGAGGAGATGTGCGAGTGCATGAAAGCTCGTCTGACGAAGCCGGCCGAGCCTCAGCAGACTGCCCACAGCAGCACAGATGCCACGGGCTTGTTTGACTAAGCGTAGGCGTCGTGTGGCAATGTAGATGTTGAGTTGGAGACTCTCGGACTGCATTGTCTCTTTGAAGATCATCGCTTCGCGATTCGGCCCAGACAACAGCAACTGGACGCGCGCGTAAGTCGCGCTGCCAGCTGAGCCGAATTGCCTGCCAAGTAGCAAGCCGTGCTGCCAGCATGTCTGAAAAGCCTAGACAGCCCTCCCAGCATTTCTCTGGCTTGACGCTGCCGCTGTGAAGAGAGACAGTGCTTCCAGTGCCTACTGTTCGTGTCTAGTGACAGCTGCGCGGTGTCCTGCCAGTCGCGGTAGTAACTCAAGCTGGAGGTAGCCTTGCAATCACCATGTGGAAGCTTAGAGCGCATAGTGAAGCCATCGATTTGGCCAGCGACTCCGAGATGGACAACAACGTCACGGAGCACTCCTCAAAGGCCTTCGAGAAGAAAACCCGCAAGACTGTGGCCCGCGTCAAGCATGAGAGCACAGACCATCAACGACTTCGCGTCAAGACCACGCCCAAGACAGGCAACAAACCGCCTCGTGTGGCCAAGAAGGTGAAGGAATCGAAGCCAAGTGTGCCTGCGAATGCCTGGCTGCAGGCCAAGTGGGCTCCGCACGATGGCCACGGCAGCTGCCGAGGCTTGGACATGCCATGTGTGATGGGCATACGCGGGACTGCAGCACCAGCAGGACCCAACGGTCTCTGCGACCTATGCAACCTAGACGACATT